TCAGAATTCCAAATATCTTAATTTGTGTTCCGAAGATGAACGAAGGTCTTATGGGTTTGGAACGACATGAGGGTGAGTAATCAATGACAGAATTTTCATTTTTGGGTGAACTATCCCTTTAAATATCACTGTAGTAATATATGTCTGTATTATGTAACATACAATGTCTTAATCAGAAATGTTTATTAACTTTAGCATTGCGTGATTAATATTTCAAAGTGTTTTCCGCCATATTGGAAAATAAACATGAAGGAAATTTTACAGCTCATTCAGTCAAACTGATGGATAACTTTGAAAGTAGTGGGGCAGTTGTGGCCTAATGGTTAGAGAGTCGGACTTGTAACCCAAAGGTTGCGGGTTCGAGTCTCGGTACCGGCAGGGATTGTAGGTGGGGGGAGTGAATGACCAGCACTCTCTTCCACCCTGAATACCACGACTGAAGTGAGACCCTTGAGCAGGAACAAACCCCCAAAAATGGCTGCCCACTGCTCCGGGTGTGTGTTCACGGCTGTGTGTGTGCACTTGGATGGGTTAAATGCAGAGCACAAATTCCGAGTATGGGTCACCATACTTGGCCACACGTCACGTCCTTTCCTTTTCCTTTTTTCTTCTTTCCTGGGTCCAGGACAGGGTCTGTTGACCTTCCTAGGTTTTATTGGGAGTTCGAGCTCATCATATCTTCGTATTTCATTTAATTTATTGTATCTGTTTCTAACAGGGTTATTTACTCAGAGTAGAGTTCCAATTCCATGTTTAGTTCTGTAAGGACCACCCATTGGCCCAGTGAAGGAATCCAATGGTGTGGGTGAAGGTATAATGCCAGTAGGTCTTTTTTGTGCTTTTGCAAAGTTCATTTGCAAATTTAGTTTATTTATTTTTTTATTTTTTTTCAAATTTAGGATTTAGTTTCAATTTGATTCTAGATCAAGTGTTTAATCTGACTCCAATTCTCAAGTGATCATTGAATTTAGATTAGAATTTAGATTATTTTAAATATCCCATACTTTCTATTATTCGTTCATCAGGGACTGATATCGCATTTCAGTCTCACGGCAGCCATATGTGGACCTCACGATCACAAACTTGCCAGTCCAAACTTGTGCAAGGTTAACCTATACCTTTAAGTTGGCTGCCTACTGCTTGCTCAGAACAAAAAGTGTAGTCTGTTAGGTCACTTCAATACAACTTGCTAAGTCAATGATAGACAGAAATCAGAAAGTCTCCGATCTCCTTCTGCTCCATTAATCCATGAGCCTTTAGCATGATATATCCTGGACACAGATCTGAGGTAACATCAGCCTCCACATGATCTACTAGTCATAATGATTGCAGGAGAGTTCAGAATAAATCAAATATAACATTTAATTTGTCAGGTAAGAAAGTATAATGCTAATTTAATAATTAATCAGAAGCAAATTCAGAAATGATAATGCAATTGTGAATCACATTGTAGCCACATGGCAATTCTATGCTCCTGCACATGGATTACTGTAGCTATATGGGAAAGAGCTGAGTGTTCCAAGTAGGAGACAAACAGATTCAACATAGTCACCAGTGTTGGGGAGTAACTAGTTACATGTAACGGAATTAC